CTTTACATCATCATTCCACCCAAACGCTCCTCTTTCCCCCTGCACCCACTTTTCCCGTAACCACAAACTTCTGCTGAAAACTCTAACACTAATTTTTAAACCTACCCCCAAACCCCTTCGACCCCTTGCCTATGCTCTCATTAGCCCATCTACCTCCAATAGCTTTTTTATATTTACCCTAACTGCCTCCCCTTTTTTGTTTTTTAAAAACCCTTTACCTCTCTCTTCCCCCGATGCTTCTATTCTCCTTGTATCCCATCTACCTTTTACTTCATGTATACAACAGAAAGTGATCTGATAATTTTGGCCCCCCTATAAACATGAATCCCCCCCCCCCCCCAAATCTACTCAACAGTCTTTTACTACCAATACATAATCCAACAAACTACTGTCATTTGCCCTACATCATATCGTGTATACTTATTTACCTCTTTTTCTTAAAAATGTATTCCTATAACTAAAACCCCCTTTTTATACAAATTAATCAAAGGGGTCCCCTTTTCATTTACACCCCGGCACCCCAAACTTACCACCCACCCTCTTAAAGTTTCTCCCTTTTAGCATTTAAGCCCCCCACAAAAATTACTCTCTCACTTGTTCAAAGGCCCCTATACATTCATTAACATCTCCAAAATCTCCCTCTCCTTGCTTCCCCTCTTCTCCAGGTCAACACGCTTTTTGACCCATTTTGATCCACCTTTTCTTTAATCCACATAATTCTTGAATTTACACATTCAAATTTTTTTTCTCCTTCCATAACGATCATTTAACATTATGCTACCCCTTCCTTTTCTCTAAAATCTCTCAATACTCAATTAATCCCATTTATTTCCCCCCCGAAACTCTCCTACCCCCTTTAGCTTTGTTTGCTTAGGGCCAGGGCATCCAACTCTTTTCATTCATACATAGGCAATATCTGTTTCTTTTCATCCGCACTACATCCACCACATTTAACATCCCAGTTTTATAAAGTTTTTTTTTTCTTCCTTTTTTTTGTAATTTTATACAGGGGAAGGGTTACAGCCCATTTCTCCCGGCATTTTAGTCGCCTCTACACACCATGGCTTCGGAGGAAAGATTCTTTTCCATTCCCCATGGCAATAGAAAAATAAAAAAGAACAAAAGCTATTTTAAAAAGAAAAACCAGGTTGTTTATATATATATGATGTGGTTCTGTGATTGCCAAAGTGAATGGGGTAAGCGTATCCCCCTTTTTAATTTAGGGTTTTTTGAGCAAAAAAAAAACCCCCAAAACCCCAAAGCAAAACAGTCGGTTTTTGTTTTAAGTATCGGCAGGAGGGGAATATTCCCTGGGTGGTTGGTTTTAAAATTTTAAATTTTTATTATATAATATATATATTATATATATATATAAAAATTTTAAAAATATATATATTATATAATTATATATATAAATATTTTTAATTATAAATATAAAATTTTAAAATATATAATATATATATATAAATTATATTTAAATTAAAATATATAAAAATATATATAATTATATAAAAATAATAAAATTATATATATATATAATATAATATTCAATATCAAGAACTTTTTTTAAAATTTAAAACCCTTTTAAATTTTTTTTCTTAAACAATAAGTAAAAATTTAAAAATTTTTTAACAAAAAACCTTTTAAAAAATTCCTAAAATTATTATAACAATCAGTTTTAAATTTAGCCTAATCCAACTAAATATATTTTAGATACGTTTATACTAATTTAATAACAAACACAATGAAAAATATTTTTTCGTTAGGTTCAAAATGATTTTTGCAAATTCACGCGGGTCATTCACCTCAAGAAGTGGTGAAGGCTTGATCCTCCGTCTGCTGAGCTCGAGGCAGACAGCACTTCCTATTAGTATTCACGTCAATGTACCCTGGTACATAAACTCACGCTTCATTGGTTCGAACCTAAAGCGTTAACATGGAAATAATTGTCGTCAGAATATTACATCGAAAACTGCTAATGTTAATTAAGGCCCACGGTCAATTAGACATGTGAAAAATGGAATGGTGATACCAACAAGATGTGGAAAAAGAGACTTATGTGTAGTTCAGACATTTATTTGAGGAAACGTACCGCGCCATGAGTGATTTCTTCAGTCCTGGGCCTCAACGTGTCTATTTCCACACAAAGGAGACCCGAATCAACAGCTTGTTCACCAGGAGGAAACACTGACTGATACTGAAGAGGGAAGTATCTTAATAGGTAGATATCACGAGAGGAGTTCCTCAGGTATTCGTTCTCAGCTCAGTCCTTTTTTTTCAATTTAAGTAAATGGTAAAGAAATGGGGCTAACATCTATTCAAATTCACTGATGTCGCAAAATTCGGGGGGAGATTAAATACAACATCTACGGCTGAATGTATACGATCTCAGGGTGATGTATTATAAGATCTTGGCTGACGTATTGGTTGGTAACGTGAACGATCAGTCTCGAAGCAGCAAAACAAACACAGTGTTAGGCTTCATAGCTAGAAATTTAAATAATAATACCCCAGAAACAACAGCATGCTGGTTCCATTTTCTCCCGTGAGCCACCGACTAGATGTGTTTGTCAGGTTCTTTTACCAGTCTATATTTTTCGTGTTCTTTCGCCCATTTCCTTTATGCGGTAAAAACCGTCAACCTGTCCAATGGCACCACCTGTAGTATTCAACCACCTGTAGTATTCAACCACCTGTAGTATTCAACCACCTGTAGTATTCAACCACCTGTAGTATTCAACCACCTGTAGTATTCAACCACCTGGTAGTATTCAACCTGTAGTATTCAAACTAACTGTAGTTCACCTGGTATTTATTCAACCTTGTATATTCAACCATCTTAAATTAACAAGTATATTGTTTTTAACACGGTTGATTTAACCACCTTTGATAGATAAATGGTCAGGAACCTAATTTTGATAAATTACGCAGTGCAAACCTTGGTATTTTTATTGAGGAAACGTTTCGCCACACAGTGCTTCCAAATTTCAAAGGGAAAGTAAAGAATAAAGGGAATGAGGTAATCTTCCCTCAACCTTAGACATGACCTTTGGGCAAACTATCTATCAGTTTTTACCTTGTACTGGACTGATGAAGCCATATTGGCGAAACGTTTCCTCAATAAATGATACCCAAGAGTTGCACATGTGTTTAATTTATCAACCATCTGTTGTATTTAACCACTTTCGGTATTTAAGTACATGTATGTAACCTCCTGGTCAAAATACTAAAATAATTTTTAACCCCTTACAAGCCTAAAATTATTATTCTAAACGAATTGTAAAATCTAAAAATAATTCTAGATTATTTATAATAGCCTAAAATAATACGAGACTATTTACAAGAGCTTAAAATAATTGTAGATCATCCATTTGCATGAGCCTAAAATAATTATAGATCATTTAAAAAGCCCTAAAATAATTCTAGATCATTTACAAGAGATGTCGAGGAGACACGAAAGTGCCCTGGTCTGTACCGAAAGTAATTCAACCAACCGAAAATAATTCAGAGAACCTAAAAATGATCCAAAGAATCCCAGGTAATTCAGAGGGACTCAGATAATTCAAACTAACTAAAATAATGCTAGGAGCCTAAAATAACTTGAAGACGTTGATCCGGCCACACTGAGTCACGGGTTGTTAACCGAGTTGTGATCACAGGTGCGGGATGTTATCCTCGTGGCACCGTCTGTGACACTCTTTTTTCCACCTCCTTTACGAGGGGTGGGAGTTGGGAGGGGAGAGAGGGGGAGGAAAGAGGGGTGGGGAGGAGTGCCTTGAGGCCACTGAGCGGGATCTTGATTTTAGGAACTGGATCTATCCTCGCCATCAACGGGTCGAAGTTCAATGACACCTATTTCCCCAGACGCTGTGTCACCCTTCCGGTTTCAGCTCGGTTTTCAGCTGTTTTTTTTTTTTTTTTTTTTTTTTTTTTATTTTGGCCATTTTTAATGAAATAAAAGTAATTTTGATTCCATTTATTTTGTAAAATGCTTCTTTCCTTTATTATTATTATTATTATTATTATTATTATTATTATTATTATTATTATTATTTCCAGAGGGAAAGTCTATTTCCGTACTGATAATATAACGCCTGGTATTATTAGGTAGTCAGGTTTGATTCAAGGAAGGAAGGAAGGAAGGAAGGAAGGGAGGAAGGGTAGTCCTATTTCCTCAGAACAAGAGCCCTTCACCAGCATCAAGGCACCGTTCACTGAAGAGCTTCCTTGCTTTTTCAAGGGAAATAACAAGGTAGACCAAAAGTTAGAACCCCAGAGATATTTTAATCTGGGATAAAACTTTATTTTACGACTCTATTACCCACAGTGGGACTTTATAATGTAACAAAAGCTCACTCTGGGAAAAATGTTACATGATGAAGCTCCTTTCTTTGCTCTTAACTTTACTTTTAAGATTTAAACCTGACATGTAACACCGTAATATTCTGAATATAGGATAAAGAGTTCTTTCAGGTACTGTTGATGGTCGTCCAAAGTGTACACAGGTCGTGCTATATGTACATAGGTTTTCCTAAGTGTACACAGGTCGTCCTTTGAGCACAATGGTTGCCTAATATGTACATAACTTTTATTATTGTACACAGGTCCTCCTATGTATTCACAGGTCGTCCTATAGGTACACATGTCCATTAAATACGCAGGTTGTCTTATGTGCACACGGGTTGTCTTATGCCTACACATGTAGTGACACATGTACACCGTCGCACACTTGCTGACAAAAGCAAAGAGAAACTATCGTTGCAAAAAGTATTCTTTAGAAATTTATTCACTGTCATATAAAAACACGTGCTGATATATCTGGTAAATATACGCAATTATAAAGCTAGGAAACGAATAAACCTCAGGTGAAGCAACAATGACAGCATCACACGTGAGCACCACACCCCCCCTCCCTCAGTGCCACTCTGGAAGTGCCACGCTGACAGCATCCACGTCGGCGGCTACGATGCATGTTGGGGAGCAGGAGGAGACGGGGGTCTCTCCATAAGGGGGAGGTGGAGGTTCTACTTGCATAAGTAGCGCCTCGCTACCTCGCACAACCATCACATTCCAACTACTTGTCTTATTGTCTACTACTGCTGGGTATCTGACTCCCCACAGACATAAACATGAGGTAAAAACGTTTTAGCATTACATATATTATTATTGTGAAGGAATGGTTTGTAACACAAAGGAGAGGGCTGAGTGCTCGTGGTGTCTGAGTTACACCACGAACTTGATCCTTGTAATATTTGTTTGAAGACTGTTTAAAAAGACTGAACCTAGTTTAAAAGCACTGGGGACTGTTTCACGGAACTGGGATTATTTTGAAGAAGGATCAGACTGAAATGTTTGCAAATAGGTATGCGTCTTCTATGAAATACGTGAGTATCTGCTGCGAAAAAGTGTCAAGGTACATAGCAATTTTAAATATATCTGTTGTAATATATCCGGTGTAATATATTTGTTGCAATATATCTGTTGAAAAAAAAATATCTGATGATATAGCTTCAGAACTCCACAACACAGGAAAAGTTTTCTAATGTTTTATTAAATATTTCCTGGATTATATAGTTATAATGTCAGATGCTATAAAGCTTCAGAGAGATTGGTAGCTGTCATGTGTATAAACTAAAGAAATATAAAGAGATCATTATACTGTACTCAAGGGTGTAAATTCTACGGTATTTGCCTCCATTTTTTATTAATGTTATTTTTTATATGGCACATTGGGTATTCAGATGTCAAGATATTTGGATATAAGGAAATTTTAAGACGAGAAAGATACGAGGTAGAGATCTAGAGACTATTTTAAGACGGAAGAGATAGGAGTGGCGAAGACTTTGAGAAGGAAAGAGATAGATGTGGTGGCGGTTTAGAGACGAAGATTTTGGTGTGTTGGCGATTGAGAAGACATAGGTTCAGTGGTGGTGATCTCTAAATATTCACCAGACAACTGTTGGTTACTGATTGTGTATCTGGTCTAGGATCGCTGTGTTGGTAGTGTTCGCCGTGATGGCTATCTGTCAGGCCGCCTCCGTCAACGAGGGAGAGGCCAAGGCACCAGTGGTGGAGACGGTGCCACTGAAGAAGCCGGAAGCAGCAGTGCCGGTGGAAACGGTGCAGTTGAAGACAGCGGACGAGAAAAAGATTGAAGATGCAAAGAAAATTGAAGACATGCCAAAGCCAATGTAAGGATAATTCTTTTCACTTCATTATCCCCTCTCTCCCCTTCTACCCTTCACAGAGGCTTTTTGATGCTGGCGAAGGGAACTTAATCCTCCAAAATTGGGGCTATTTTCCCATTCCTCAGAACAAACATGACTACCTACTTTCCCCCATTTACTGTATTACACTTCCAGCTTTGCGCTTCCCCGTGAATACAGTATTGATAATACTCCTTCTCTCTCTCTCTCTCTCTCTCTCTCTCTCTCTCTCTCTCTCTCTCTCTCTCTCTCTCTCTCTCTCTCTCTCTCTCTCTCTCTCTCTCTCTCTCTCTCTCTCTTTTCTATTTTCTATAAGCCTTCTTTACCTTCTTTATTAAATTATTGCAATTATTCCAAGTCAAAATCTTCTCTAGCGAATCATTTTTTCTTCCATTTATTTCTTTGTTTTTTAAATTTCATCTTTTTTTTCACTTTCCGTTTCAACTTTCCCTCATTAATTAAAATATTAAAATGACCGAGAGAGGAAATGCATCAGTGTGATGTACGGTGAAGTCACGTGATGTACAGTGAAGTCACTTGATGTACAGTGAAGTCACGTGATGTACAGTAAACTCACGTGATGTACAGTGAAGTCACTTGATGTACAGTGAAGTCACTTGATGTACAGTGAAGTCACGTGATGTACAGTGAAGTCACGTGATGTACAGTGAAGTCACGTGATGTACAGTGAAGTCACGTGATGTACAGTGAAGTCACTTGATGTACAGTGAAGTCACTTGATGTACAGTGAAGTCACGTGATGTACAGTGAAGTCACGTGATGTACAGTAAACTCACGTGATGTACAGTGAAGTCACGTGATGTACAGTAAACTCACGTGATGTACAGTGAAGTCACGTGATGTACAGTAAACTCACGTGATGTACAGTGAAGTCACGTGATGTACATGAAGTCACGTGATGTACAGTAAACTCACGTGATGTACAGTGAAGTCACGTGATGTACAGTAAACTCACGTGATGTACAGTGAAGTCACGTGATGTACAGTAAACTCACGTGATGTACAGTGAAGTCACGTGATGTACAGTGAACTCACGTGATGTACAGTAAACTCACGTGATGTACAGTGAAGTCACGTGATGTACAGTGAAGTCACGTGATGTACAGTGAAGTCACGTGATGTACAGTGAAGTCACGTGATGTACAGTAAACTCACGTGATGTACAGTGAAGTCACGTGATGTACAGTGAAGTCACGTGATGTACAGTAAACTCACCTGATGTACAGTGAAGTCACGTGATGTACAGTGAACTCACGTGATGTACAGTGAAGTCACTTGATGTACAGTGAAGTCACTTGATGTACAGTGAAGTCACGTGATGTACAGTGAAGTCACGTGATGTACAGTAAAGTCACGTGATGTACAGTGAAGTCACGTGATGTACAGTGAAGTCACGTGATGTACAGTGAAGTCACGTGATGTATAATGAAGTCACGTGATCTATAGTGAAGTCACGTTATGTACAGTAAAGTCACGTGATGTATAGTGAAGTCACGTGATGTACAGTGAAGTCACGTGATGTATAGTGAAGTCACGTTATGTATAGTGAAGCCGCAAAGAAATAAAAACAGTAAGCTGGCACCAGTGTGGTAAGCTGGCACCAGTGTGGTAAGCTGATACCAGTGTGGTAAGTTGGCACCATGTGGTAAGGTGTACCATGTGTAAGCTAGCACCATGTGGTAAGCTGGCACCAGTGTCATAAGCTGGCACCAGTGTGGTAAGGTGGTACCAGTGTGGTAAGCTGGCACCAGTGTGGTAAGCTGATACCAGTGTGGTAAGCTGGCACCAGTGTGGTAAGGTGGTACCAGTGTGGTAAGCTAGCACCAGTGTGGTAAGCTGGCACCAGTGTCATAAGCTGATACCAGTGTGGTAAGCTGGCACCAGTGTGGTAAGGTGGTACCAGTGTGGTAAGCTAGCACCAGTGTGGTAAGCTGGCACCAGTGTCATAAGCTAGCACCAGTGTGGTAAGGTGGTACCAGTGTGGTAAGCTGGCACCAGTGTGGTAAGGTGGTACCAGTGTGGTAAGCTGGCACCAGTGTAGTAAGCTAGCACCAATGTGGTAAGGTGGTACCAGTGTGGTAAGCTGGCACCAGTGTGGTAAGGTGGTACCAGTGTGGTAAGCTAGTACCAATGTGGTAAGCTGGCACCAGTGTCATAAGCTGGCACCAGTGTGGTAAGCTGGCACCAATGTGGTAAGCTAGCACCAGTGTGGTAAGCTGGCACCAGTGTGGTAAGCTGGCACCAGTGTGGTAAGCTGGCACCAGTGTGGTAAGCTGGCACCAGTGTGGTAAGCTGGCACCAGTGTGGTAAGCTGGCACCAGTGTGATAAGCTGGCACCAGTGTGGTAAGCTGGCACCAGTCTGGCAAACTTGACAGTACCAAACTTAATTCCATCACAGTCAACGTGAAGTCAGACTCAGCCTTCCTGACACATCACAGCAAGACAGCAAAATTAAAATTGCACATTTCGCTTCGTTCTAAACTATTATCAAGAAGCGACGGGGAATGAGAGATGGACGACGTTTCGGCACGGAAATGACAGCCGGATGATCTATCGACTCGCCAGCCAAAAAAAAAAAATGAAAACGATACACATTTTCATTTAATTTATATTTTACTAATAATTTATTATATTTTACTAATAATTTATTATTTTACTAATACTTTAGTTGGTCATTAATTATCACTTCTTCTCTTCTAGTCTTAGTGCTGCCGAAGAGCTTCCTCTAGAAGAGGAGGAAGAGGATGAGGAATTCTATGAGGATGAGGATCCACAGTTCGGTTTAGAGGAAGAGTTCGAAGATGACTGAGGAGGATGAGGAGGAAGGGGAAGAGGGACACAATATTTGGAAGAGGTGAGAAATATATTAATAATCACATTACAATATCAGGAAGAAAAATATTGCATCAAAGACAGGAATTACATGTACAATAATATATGGATTGCTTTTAGCACTTGGTAAACAGGTTGTTTACGAATGTACAGTTATATAATAATTTAAGTAATGATCATATAAGGTCTTTGGAAGAATATAAATGTTATCAGTAATAAAGTTGGTAGAATTACCGACAATATGTAAAGTAAAAGGACACAAGTGCAACTAATGTGACATTTATTGTGGCAACGTTTCGCTCTCCAGGAGCTTTATCAGCGAAACGTTGCACAATAAATGTCACATTAGTTGCACTTGTGTCCTTTTACTTTACAGTATTCACCTCACTCTGAGCCTTTATATACCCTCTGTGTCCATGTATTGTTTGTAATGGCTTGATAAAACTCCTGGAGAGCGAAACGTTGCCACAATAAATGTCACATTAGTTGCACTTGTGTCCTTTTACTTACAAATGTTATTAGAGTATTGTTTATCTTACAGAAGCGTGGATGAGAGGAGAAGAGGGGACGATGAATAATGAAGAACAGGAATAAAAGTATATGATATATATATATATATATATAATATATATATATATATATATATATATATATATATATATATATATATATATATATATATATAGTACATAAAATTATATATGTATATTTTGTATTTAGGTGTTATATCTGTTTTTTTTAATTCTCTTTTTTTCTTGGGAGAGAAAAGATGATGATAACTGTAACGGTGCTGAGAATGACATTTCTTTGTAAAGAACCAGTAAGGCGATGGTGATGATGGTGACAATAATAACAACGATGATAACTGGGATGAAGGCGATGATCATGAAGAAAAAAATAAGGGGAATCTTTGTTAATTGGTCTACATCTGATGGCGTAGATAAGGATTCCCGTGGGGAAAATACGCGCTTCGAGATACTGCCCATCTGAAAGAAGTATCGAAGTATCAAATAAGACGACAGAATCTCAACAAAGAAAGAAGCATCTTGGTCCTTCTTACCTGGAGAAATATACTCATCACCTGTGCAATTCTCACCCAGCAAACTTACTCACCAAATAAGAAAAGTTTCAGAGAAAAACAATGGATTTAATTTTTTCTTAATTTTTATTTATTTTAGGTTATAAAAAATTTAATGTTGTACGACCCATACGGGTTTAGTGCTTGTTTAACCTCCACTGATAAGCATTATATATAATACTTAATATTCTTTGGTATTTTGAAGCCATGTATCATGCATTATTTCGTTTATTTTTAATTATACATAAAAATAAATGCATAAAATTTCCTCGCTATATTAATTCCTAAAGTTGTTTTATACCAATATTACCTATATTATAATATACCAAGCCTGAGCTTGCTACCATCTGCAGCTCATAAGACTGCCATCCCATGTGCCCCTTTGAGGGCGGGTGATGGCAGACCAAGGCAGTTCTCACGAGCCCGTGAGGCGGGGATGTGGCTAGGCCTGGGGACACTTGGTCCCAAAGATAAGGAGGTACTTGTCCTTCCTCCCATGGGAGACTTAGGTCTCGAGACACTCCCCAGATAGGGAGCCAAGGCCGGGTCACCACTACTTGGAAAAGACCCGGGCCGGGAGAATACAGGTGATTAAAAAAAAAAAAAAAAAAAAATTACAGCAATCCAGAATACATTACTGCAGTCCAATAAATAATACAACACTTATATGTACATTATAAAAATAATCCACTTTATGTTACAGTAGACCTATGCACAACACAACATTCTTGTGCATATTACAGTATTCTAATACACATTACAGCATTTCTTACATGTTACAACTTACTTAGAAGGATACAAGAAATATATCTGTTCACTTATATTACATATTTACGTAAAAATACATTTTGGCACATTACATCTGTACAGTCTGACTATCTTCAAACAAGATGTTGGTAACTTGAAAACTGTGGATAATAAGATGAAATGAGAGAGATGGAGTGAGAAATGTTATGATGACGTAAGAGATATAAAGTGAGGAATGTAAGGAGAGGACCATGGCATGTAGAAAAAAATATTCCCATATAATACTGATAATAATACTGACATTATTATTATTTTTCTCACTACTACTACAACTACAAATACTAGTACTACTAAAACTACTGCTGCTCTTGTTTGTTATGAAATAAAGCAAATAAATTGAATAATTGACTGATACAACTATTACTACTACTGCTGCTGCTGCTGCTACTACTACTACTACTACTACTACTACTACTACTACTACTACTACTAACTACTACTACTACTACTACTACTTCCATTGTTAATGATTTCGAACTATATAAACGCCACTGAAAACAATTAGCACATTTAAAATAACATCAATGGACACATTCTTAGGGTTAACTTATTCTGAGACAAAAGGAACCGTACATTGTGTTCCCGCAAGACCGTCAACACAGAAAGTATAGGCAGTAGTCGCCTCGCTGGCAGCAGCGCGTCATACTGGCTGTAAGAGACACCCAGTGTGACAAATAAAACAGATTATGTTTTATAATTACCAGTCATAAATAACTCATACTTTGAAAGGAAACTTGTAGACGACGTTTCCGTGTCATTATGAAGGTACGTGTGACTTCATAATGACACGGGACGGATGGAAATGTCTTGCATGTGCTCTAAGTACGGCATTGCCACTTTCGCTAGAGCTTGAATAAGGTTACTTTCGTTCACAGAAAATCTTGCTTCAGATAAACCTGCCTAGAAGCCAAAGTGATAAGATGATGGGTAACGGAAAAGTGCCAAAAAGAGAGAAAACTCTCACTGAACGATATATCTTCATAAATAAATGCCTCGTTGTTGCTGATATAAATCTGAACAATACATGTCAATTTCATCACATTTAGGGGAAAATAACCATTGAGACTAAAATTTATTTAGTCTCTCCCATTTGATCATATCAACTTAGCTCATGAGACGAAATGGGAAGTGGGGGGGAAGTATTTCGGGGAGAAAGGGTTTGAAAAAAAATATAATGGAAAGGTAACTACAGACCCGTATTGTTGATATCATCTCCAGCAAGTATGATGCTGACGATGCTGATGTTGATAATAACGATGGTGTTAATAGTGACAGTAAACATGAATTAATCAGTAATGAATAAACTTACATATTAAAAAACACATTTACAATGGCAATAAACGTAAGTATGTATCAGTTCCCTGTTAGATAAAGAACTTGGATGCATATATATATATATATATATATATATATATATATATATGTATATATATATATATATATATATATATATATTATATATATATTATATATATATATATATATATATATGACTGCCAAAATTCAGCAGTTGATGTAAATTAAACCTGGTAAATAACCTGAAGATTTTAATCTACAGCCGAGCTGAAGTTTTTTCTGAAGTTTCTTCTCATCAAGTACATATATGTGACTTCATTAAATGACTTCATCCAGGTAAAAGCAGATTTAAAACAGTAAATGGGGTACGATGAGCATAACTCTGTTACTGCAGCTACATCTTTGTAGTCACGTTATAACACTGTACCTACACAAATCATCCCATGCCATACTCCATGCTAGGGCGAGGAGTTCTTCTCCTCACGGAAAATGACTCTCTATAACAGTTCCTATAGCTCAAGTTCCTGTACTCCTTCTCCTCCTGCTTCTGCAACTCCTTGTCATCCAGACGTCTGTAGGCGTGCGAATAGAAACGTTTCATCCCACATACAACAATGTCCACTTTAGGCCTCTGAGAACTTCTGGTCCCCTGGAAATTCACCAGGATGAGCACCAGGTCCACAACGAAGTAGAACATAAGGATATTCAATAATCCTAAAACCACATTAAGGAAGATCAAACAGTCATCTGTGGAAAGTGCGAAGGACGTCTCTGGGCAAACTTCACCACTCAGGAACCTAAGAGGTATTGTATCCTGGGCGAGAGGCGGTAAATTAGTGCATATGTTCTGACAGCTACAACTCACTTTTAACACCACAGGGATAATTATTATAACCATAACATTAATTATTAATAATATGATTATCATTATTTAAAATCGATTACAATGATTAGCTTTGCAAGTGTTTTTACTAACATTGTTATTACTGAAGTTATTATTATTATTATTATTATTATTATTATTATTATTATTATTATTATTATTATTATTATTATTATTATTATTATTATTATTATTATTATTATTATTATTTTTATTTATTATATTTTATCTATAGAATTAATTTTATATTTGCTTATATTATTATCTATATAAACAAAAAATCTGTAAATTTTGAATTTGTAAATCTGAAAAAGGGATGTTTTTGATAAGGAAGAATAAATATGATTTAATACGAAAAAATATTTTAAAGGAAATATAATATTACCTCCAGGGAATAACGGGAAGCAGAGAAGACCGAAAGTAATGCATAGAGAGATAATATATTTACGTAAAGAGCTGATGTGTATGTCTTAATGGTGGTAGTGGTGTGTGTGTGTGTGTGTGTTCTCACCTATTGTTGTTGCAGAGGGTCGAGTCACAGCTCCTGGATCCGCCGCTTCTCTGGTTGCCACTAGGTTCACTCTCTCCTTGCTCCACGAGCTTTATCGCTTCTCTTCTTAAAGCTATGTATGGATTTTGCCTCCATTACATCACTCTAGATTCTTCCACTTCGTGACAACTCTATGACTGAAGAGATACTTCCTAGCATCCCTGTGATTCATCTGAGTCTTCAACTTCATGTTGCGACCCCTGGTTGCTGTGTCCCATCTGTGAGACATCCTGTCCCTATCCATCTTGTCAATTCCTCTCGGTATTTTATATGTCGTTATCATGTCTCTTCCTATCCCTCCTGTCCTCCAGTGTCGTCAGATAGATTTTTCTTAACCTCTTCTCGTAGGACATGTATGTGTGTGTGTGTGTGTGTGTGTGTGTGTGTGTTGTGTGTGTGTGTGTTGTGTGTGTGTTGTGTTGGTAAATTAGTGTGTGTGGTGAAGGTTTCATGGATGGTGGAATGTTTAGTGTGGTGTGTGATAGTGTAATGATGATTGATGTGTTTTTATGTAAAAACATAATTATAGAGGAAGAAAGTTTATAACTAGGTAGAAAGGAAAAAATAAATAGGGAAATGTAGAAATACATAAAAGAAAGATATTGATATATAAGTAAAGGTGAACGATAATTCGATAGGAAATAAATATATATTTAAGAATCACTCAGGAGAAACAGAAAAAGAGGAAAAAAGAGAAATTGAAGAACAGGATCACCGGATGAAGCCGGAATGTTAAAATTTCGAAATGGAAAAAACATTCTTATTAGTTTACTAGATAATAAACCTTATTAGTTTTGAAAATGTGATTAAGATGCTAGTACTCAGTTTCCGCTTGAAACTTCCCAAATTTAAAAAGTTTCTGAATGGAAAATAAATTGGCGGTAAATATAAGACTGATATGAAATATTAGTAGGATAGTGATTTAAAGATTGCATGGGAGGTTTTTATGAATTAGAGAATAAAGATTTGGAATAATATGAGTATATAAAAGAGGTAGAGAGGGGAAGGAAAGTATTGGATGGAAAATGATGTAAATAGATGTAAGGGAGAAAATTGTGCACATAGGAAGATATTTGAAAGTAGAAGTGAAGTTAGGAGGAAGAGTATATGGAGAGAAAAGAGGTTAAGAGAGTGGTGAAGCAATGTAAAAAGAGAGCAAATGAGAGTGGGTGAGATGTTATCAATAAATTTTGCTGAAAATAAGAAAAAAATTTGGAGTGAGAATAATAAATAGAGGAAGCCTAGGGAAGAAATAGATTTGTTAAAAATAGGAGAGGAGAGTTATTAAATGGAGAGTTAGAGGTATCGGGAAGATGGAGGGAATATTTTGAGTTGTTATATATTGATGAAGATAGGGAAGCTGTAATTTCGTGTATAGGGCAAGGAGGAATAACATCTTGTAGGAGTGAGGAAGAGCCAGTTGTGAGTGTGGGGGAAGTTCGTGAGGCAGTAGGTAAAATGAAAGTCGGTAAGGCAGCTGGGATTGATGGGATAAAGATAGAAATGTTAAAAGGAGGTGGGGATATAGTTTTGGAGTGGTTGGTGCTTTTATTTAATAAATGTATGGAGGAAGATGGTAAGGTACCTAGGGATTGGCAGAGAGCATGCATAGTTCCTTTGTATAAAGGCAAAGGGGAGAAAAGATAGTGCAAAAATTATACGGGAATAAATCCGTTGAGTATACCTGGTAAAGAGTATGGTAGAGTTATTATTGAAAGAATTAAGAGTAAGACGAAGAGTAGGATAGCAGATGAACAAGGAGGCTTTAGGAAGGGTAGAGGGTGTGTAGACAAAGTGTTTACAGTGAAACATGTAGGTGAACAGTATTTAGATCAGGGTAAAGAGGTTTATGTGGCATTTATGGATTTGGAAAAGGCATATGACAGGGTGGATAGGGGAGCAATATGTCAGATGTTGCAGGAGGTAGGTTACTGAAAGCAGTGAAGAGTTTTTACAAGGATAGCGAGGCTCAGGTTAGAATATGTAGGAGAGAGGGAGATTATTTCCCAGTAAAAGTAGGCCTTAGACAAGGATGTGTGATGTCACCGTGGTTGTTCAATATATTTATAGATAAGGTTGTAAGAGAAGTGAATGCGAGGGTGTTTGCAAGAGATGTGGAGTTAAAAGATAAAGAACCAAACACAAAGTGGGAGTTGTCACAGTTGCTCTTTGCTGATGACACTGTGCTCTTGGGAGATTCTGAAGAGAAGTTGAAGAGGTTGGTGGATGAGTTTGGTAGGGTATGTAAAAGAAGAAAATTAAAAGTGAATGTAGAAAAGAGTAAGGTGATGAGGATAACCAAAAAATTAGGTGACAAAAAATTGGATATCACAGTGGAGGGAGAGAGCATGGACGAGATATTTAGTAGTGGATATGTCAGCGGATGGGTCTCTGAAAGATGAGGTGAATCATAGAACTGATGATTGGAAAAGGTGAGTGGTGCACTTGGGAGTCTGTGGAGACAACAAACTTTGTCCAGGAAGCAAAGAGGGGAATGTATGAGAGTATAGTTATACCAACGCTCTTATATGGGTGTGAAATATGGGTGATGAATGTTGCAACAAGGAGAAAACTGGAGGCAGTGGATATGTCATGTCTGTGAGCAATGTGTGGTGTGAATGTAATGCAGAGAATTCCTAGTTTGTAAATTAGGAGGAGGTGCGGGATTACCAAAACTATTATCCAGAGGGCTGAGGAGGGATTGTTGAGGTGGTTCGGACATGTAGAGAGGATGGAACAAAATAGAATGACTTCGAGAGTGTATGAATCTGTAGTGCAGGGAAGGTGGGGTAGGGGTCGGCCTAGGAAAGGTTGGAGGGACGGGGGTAAAATAGGTTTTGTGTACGAGGAGCTTGGACTTCCAGCAAGCATGCGTGAGCGTGTTAGATAGGAGCGAATGGAGACAAATGGTTTTGAGGACTTGACGTGCTGTTGGAGTGTGAACAAAGTAACATTTATGAAGGGGTTCATGGAAACCGGCAGGCCGGACTTGAGTCCTGGAGATGGGCAGTACAGTGTCTGCACTCTGAAGGAGGGGTGTTAATGTTGAAGTTTTATAATTGTAATGTAAGCACGCCTCTGGCAAGACAGTGATGGAGTGAATGACGATGAAAGTTTTTCTTTTTCGGGTCACGCTGTCTTGGTGGGAAAAAGGCGATGTGGCAAAAAAAATTAAAATATAATTATATAGAGTGATGCTATAGGAGTTGAGTGTGTGTTAGTGTGTGCGTGTGTGTTAGTGTTAGTGTGTGCGTGTGTGTTAGTGTTAGTGTTAGTGTGTGTGTGTGTGTGTGGTGTGTGTGTGTGTGTGTGTGTGTGTGTGTGTGTGTGTGTGTGTGTGTGTGTGTCTGTGTGTCTGTATGTCTGTGTGTGTCTATGTGTTTCTTTGTGTCTGTGTGTCTGTGTGTGTCTGTGTGTCTGTACTCACCTAGTTGTGGTTGCAGGGGTCGAGTCACAGCTCCTACCCCGCCTCTTCACTGGCCGCTACTCTGTCACTCTTCCCGCTCCTTGAGCTTTATCATACCTCTTCTTAAAGCTATGTATGAATCCTGCTTCCATTACATCACTTTCCAGACTATTCTACTTCTTGACAACTCTGTGACTGAAGAAATACTTCCTAACATCCCTGTGATTCATCTGAATCTTCAATTTCCAACTGTGACCCCTTGTTTCTGTGTCCCATCTCTGGAGCATCCTCTCTCTGTCCACCTTGTCGATTTCTCTCAGTGCTTTATATGTCGTTATCATATTCCGCCTATCTCTCTCTGTGTGTCTGTGTCTATGTGTCTGTGTGTGTGTGTGTGTCTGTGTGTGCAAGTTTCGCTATATGGGTACCCACGTTAAGCTGGTAAAGTTTACAGTCACACGTCCAAGGATTGTCGCTCAGCTCGATGTTAAGACCTTTTCTGCCCAGCAGTTGCAGCAAGCCATCCGTGTCCATCTGTTGGAACGAGAGAAAACTCTTCTTAATCGAGTTCATTATTATTAACAGCAGAGGTGAGGGAAGGAAAACTTTAAACTACTGGGGCTAATACTGTGTATGGGATATTATAGAAAGTCCAGTTCGGACTTGATGTAAGATAGGTTCCCCTTTCTTACATCAAGAGCCAGTCACCAGCATAAATGGATTAATCAAACTGAGAATTCACAATCTGTCTCTAATGTTATTAACCTATAGTAATATTTACTTAAAGTATTTCATGTATTTAATATGACACCTATAAACTGTCTTATAAGTGAAGATATTACGAGATTCTAAAATTTTAATATGCCGTCAACACTTTCCTGGATGTTAGGATGCTTTTACAATTATCTACAGTGTTAAAATGTCTTTATGACTACCTTAAAGTTATTTTTTTAAGGGATTGGTCATGCATTACTTAGGTATCCTGGGCTTTGTAATAAGCCATTCATCTTAAAATTAGACATGCTATTAGAAATAAATATTACCAACAACGACATCATACCCTTGTAGGGTAGGGTAGGTGCCTGAGTCCGAGCCTTTAGCTCATAAGACTGTCATTCCCATTTGCCCCCTTGGGGCGGGGATGGCGGACCAGAGAGGCCTAGCTTGTGGCTAGGCCTGGGGACAGTTGGTCCCAAAGATGAGGAGGTACTTGTGCCTCCTCCCATGGGAGACTTAGGTCTCAGACACTCCCTAAAGAGGGAGCCAAGGCCGGGCCACCACTTGGAAAAGGCCCGGGTCGGGAGAATACCGGCGAATCTTTAATAATAAATATTACCAACACATGTTCTCACTGATATTTTATGAGTTACTGGTGGACTTCCATTAAGTAGTTACCTCTTTTATGTTATTTCCTTGCAAGTAGACGTGCTCAAGTTTTGGGAAGAAGGAAGATTCAAGCACCGGGAAAGTATCGATCTTATTAGCAATCAGAGAAAGGACCTCTAATTTCTCCTGGTTCTTGGTTCTCTCAAACAGCTTCGTCGTTGACCGTAACTGCCGAGAAAAATAAACAATATTTTTAAAGAGACATAATACACAACTGCATAAACTTTAAGTAATATATATATATATATATATATATATATATATATATATATATATATATATATATATATATATATATATATATATATATATATATATATATATATATAATATGGTCCACCTCTGGTGTAAATTGTGGGACCCATAGCCTCGGAGAAGTGGATAAAAAGGCTTCAAGGAAGAATATTTGGATTTCTTCCTGAAGCCGTTTGAATGTTCCACTTCCCCTACCACCCCATCTTTTAGTATATATTGTTTTTTACCAATAGGAATATGTAAAACTGGTCAATTAGCAAGAACTCATTTAAAATTAAGTCCTTTCTAAAATTTTCTCTTAGACGTTTAAAGATATATTTTTTTCATTATTGTTGATGTAAAAATTTATAATTTTGCACCAAAGGGAACTAAGAAAACTTACCTAACCTTATTATAACAAGCGCAATTTATTTTAGCCTAACCCAACTAAATATATTTTAGATTTGTTTACAGTAATTTAATACTGAACAAACACAGTGAAATATCATTTTTTCGTTAGGTTCAGAATGATTTTGGCGAAATTATTGCATACACAAATTTTCACTTGTCCTATATGGCAAGATGAACGTTGCTATTTAAGCCAAGATCGCAAGTTCTGCCTATTTGGCACGACATATATATATATATATATATATATATATATATATATTATATATATATATATATATATATATATATATATATATATATAATTGTAACCACGAACGAGTGGTACTGATCAATAACAACACTGCGCTAGTCAAGGATTCGAACCCATGTTGTACTGGCCTGCCTCATGGTAAGCGAGAACTATATAACGCTATAATCCACAGGACCGCCCAACCCTACAAGAATGGCGCAGTTAGCAATGCTAGCATTGTTGTTATTGATCAATACCACTCGTTCGTGGTTACAATAATATAGAAATACTGCTTGTGAGGCTAGTACACCAAACAGGTTCACCAAACAGGGATGAGAATGAAATTAGCTTAGAAGCTCCCACACCTCCGTATGCCCTCGGATGGCGGCCCAACAGCTAACTGCTGGCTGCGCCATTCTTGTAGGGTTGGGTGGTCCTGTGGTTTAAAGCCTCATGTAGTTCTCGCTTAAAATAAGGCAGGCCAGTACAACATGGGTTCGAACCCTTGGCTAGCGCAGTGTTGTTATTGATATATATATA